AGACTACACAGCCCTCACACACCTCAGAGACTACACAGTTCTCACACTCCTCAGAGACTACACAGCCCCTCACACTCCTCAGAGACTACACAACCCCTCACACTCCTCAGAGACTACACAGCCCTCACAGGCACCTGTCAACATGACAGTGAATGTGAACCACACAGTTGCAAGTACGTGGGCTTTGCTGTGGTATTTTCATGCTTGTGCTTAGTTCCCTTCTCTTGTACCTCGCCATACCCCGGCTATTCCCCTTCGCAGTCTATCTACTGTGTATCATCACACTTCTTTCCTTACTATTCTCCCTTCCTCTCACAAAGTTTCATGCCCTACATCCTCACATGTAAATACATCACACACACACACACACACACACACACACACACACACACACACACCTTTAAATCTAGGTTCTACCTAAGAAAAAGCTGTGCTTTTTTGCCTTTCTGTATCTGTCTACTTTGGTTAACAGTAACTTCCATTTCTATGCATTTCCATACAAATGTCATGACTTCACTTCCCTTATCAAGTTCCGGTGTGTTTGTGCACCATGGTCATCCATTCATCTGCTAGTGCTCACGTAGGCTAGGTCAAGGCTTACACAGTGTCCAGTGCCAGGGATTGAACTCAGAGCGGCATTCCTGCTAAGCAACCGTTAAACCCCCAACCACACACTTCGCTGTTAGAATTCTTTTCCTGGGTTCTCTTTCTCCACTGGCTCACCTCTTGGCAGATGGTATCCTTACACATGGAGTTTCTCACAAACACACACAGGTTGTTAGAGCTCTTCTGAGTGTGAATAGTATAAAAACATCATTGTTTGTGTATCCCAAAGGCACCCAAACAACATTCCCCAAACTGAACTGGTGATCTGTGTAAATAAACCATAAAATCACAGGACCCCAAGCTGAACCATGATGTCTCCCTACCTCTGTGATAGCACTGTCTATCCAGATGGGCAAGCCAAGGATGAAGGACTCATCTTTTGTACCTGCCACCCCTTTTCAACTATAATACCACATCTAGCATATCACCAACATGTACTGATGGGGCCCTACACACACTCTGAATTACCTGACTTTCCTTCTTTTCCACTGCCCACCCCTAACACCACTACCCACCCAGGGCCTTCCATTCACTCTGAACTTTAGCTGTTTGCTCTGCATATGGCAGGCAGAATGAATTGGACCCTGTCAGGCCTTCACCCAACCCCAACACACTCAGTGACTCTGTGTTACTCTTGTAAGAAAGAAAGGACCTCAAATCTTAAGGCGCTCTCCGAGAGATGAAGCCACTTGCATGGGCTCGATTATATCTGCCACCTTATGGCACAGCATGATGGCCATTTAATTCCTTGAAGGGTTCTTGGCATTGGCCCAAAGTCATTTCCTCTGTGTGGGAAGGCCAGTAGCCCTGCCCCATTACTCAGTTGCTCTCCTTCATTGGCCCCATGCTGCTTTGGCCCCCAGCCTCACAAAGAAGCCTTTTATGTCTCAGTCAAGTCAATCCGCACTTTCTGTGCAGGTGTCCACTCACGCCTTCTGTGGCTAATGCCTGGCTTGCATTGGCTCCTACTAAGGTTAGCCTCTGGGCTACCCTGGACACATAGTGTGTACTGGGTGCATGTTGGCTGAAGGAATCCATCATCAGTGCTTGCATTTTTTCTATAACTCCAACATGGGTGGTTTAACTTAATCAATATTGTGATATGTTCTCCATTTTCTGTGTGGAGAGTATGTTGGGAATACTGTAGTAAAAGGCCTGTGTGAGAGACCTCCATTAAATACATTTGGGGCTGGTGAGAGGGCTCAGCAGGTAAAGGTGTTTGGTACCAAATCCATCAACATGCGTTTGATCCCCAGAACCTGTATAAAGGGGGAAAGAGAGAAGCAGTTCCACCAAGCTGTCCTCTGACCTCTACACGAACACACATACACCATAATAAAAAACAAAAAGATGGAAAATTATACCTTTGCAATCTTAGACCACATCTTCACATGAAAAATGGAGCAAATACCATATTCTTTGCCATGCGTGATCACTCAGTGCTTTATGAGGCTCCGCACTCTGCTATTTTGTCTTGACAGCCAGTTGATACCTTTGTTCCAATTTTCATTTGATATCTGCCTGAGAATAGAGTCAAGGAAATGAAAACTTCATTAAAATGCAGATGATCATCATACAGTTTATAACAACCTTCAGAACATGTCAGCAGTTCTGTTAAGAAGGGTTTTCAATTCTTAACAAATGTAACTGCAGCTGATATAATCCAAAGAGGAATGTGTTTACTATTGAACCTGGTGTGGTGCACTACCTGCAGTCCCAACATTTGTGAGGCAGAAAGATCAGAAATTCAAGGCCCTGCTTAGGCTACATGTGACATAAAAAATAAATAAACAAATTAGTTAAAGTAAAATATTAAAAAAAAGACAGCTTGTAGGATTTCCTGAAGGCGGGAAAACCCAGGTTGGAAATGAGGAGCCTGTGGGAACACTGTGGTCAGCACTGGGCCCCTGGGGTCTGGTTGGCCGGGCATCTCCATCTCTGCTGCCCTATCTGGCCACACGGGTGGATGACCTGGTTGCCCTTGGACGCAGATTTGGCTACAGCTCCCGCCACTGAGGTCTGACAGGTTCTCTATCATCACACTTCTTTGGGTCTAAAGAACTACAAACCCGGGGCTGGAGAGATGGCTCAGTGGTTAAGAGCATTGCCTGCTCTTCCAAAGGTCCTGAGTTCAATTCCTGGCAACCACATGGTGGCTAACAACCATCTGTAATGAGGTCTGGTGCCCTCTTCTGGCCTGCAGGCATACACACAGAAAGAATATTGTATACATAATAAATAAATAAATAAATAAATAAATAAATAAATAAATAAATAAATATTTAGAAAACCTACAAACCCTGACACATTCTGGAATAGGCGCTTTGCATTTACAGGGAATTTAACTTTTCTCCAGCTACAAGGAGACTGGAGAAGAGAAATTTGGACTCTTCTTTGTCCAGGACTGAAGAACCTTCCTCCTGCCACAGGTTCAGCTGAGTTGGAATTCCCACAGCACTGGAAGCGTTAGATAGTACATATCCTCACCAGTTAAATAATAGGAAACCATTGTATAAATTATGGTTAAACCATGTCAGGAAATTCTGTGACTATTAAAATACCTTTGGGGAAAAAAGGAGAAAAAAAACCAAGAAGTTGGGAGAAAGCTGTGTTGGGAGAGGGGGAGATGCAGAGGGGGTTGGATGTGGAGTAATAGAGGGAGGTTGTGATAAAAAATACATTGACTGAATGTGTGAAATTTTCATAGAATAAATAAAATTATTTTGTTTCAAAAAAACAAAATAACCAAAGGACAGGTTATAAACTCCTCATCCTGAAGAGGAGTTCCCAGTGATCCAGAGGTGTGATGCCCCAAGCGAATATGTTGAACTTAGTGCCGAGAAGGTGGCAATGCCAGTCCTAAGCACACACCAGCCTCCCATGTGGGTACACGTTGTCTGGGTCACATTCCTAAGCACCCATCAACCTCTCACACGGGTACATGTGGCCTGGGTCACAGTCCTAAGCTCACACCAGCCTCCCACATGGCTACACGTGGCCTGGGTCACACTCCTAAGGTCACACCAGCCTCCTACACAGGCATACATGGACTGGGTCACTAGGCTTGGGAATTATACAGAGAAAGATGGAGCTGATGATTCCATATTGAACACAAATGTTAAACTGTCATGCTCTACTTGAAAAAGTGTACAATTTTAAAATAATCCTTATTAATAAAATTAATTATACAGAGGAAAAAGTACACTTGTCCAGTGCTTAATAGCATAGACTGTAACATATTAAAACAGTATAAGTACTTAAAAGCTTGAACTTAGACACCTCACTATATTTGTCAGTATATGTGCTATATACTACATGTAACTATTAGCATAGTTTGCCATTTCTCATGGAATGCATTCATCTGTCTGTCGGCGGTAGGTGGTTTCTTCCTTTGGTATTGTGAGCAGTGTTGTGCTGCATACAAATAGCTCTTCTGGCCCCTGCTTTGAATTGTTTCCATTGAGCACTGAGATATGGAACTGCTGGACCATATGATTTTAGAAACTCCTACTGAAGAAGTGAGGGCTGTGGGAAGTGGGCTAATGTGGGCGACCTGCTTGCCACCCAGAAGCAGGGTGGTGTCTGGGATTGGGCTGCTGCCCACAGTCACATCTGGGTTGGCGACAGACGGGGTATATATGCTACCACTAAGGCCTTGGGGATGCCCAGGTGTGGGCCGCCACCTATAGCCATTTGGTATTCAAGGACCATGCTGCCACCGGGGCCATGTTGATCTGAGTGACCTGCGCTGCCAGTGGAGGACATGATGCCATCTGGGCCTGGGCTGTTGTCAGGAGCCATGTCTGGGTCCATGGCCTTGCAGCAACCAGGGTCTGTGTTGATGGCCATAGCTTCAGTAACCACTGAAGGCAGACTGGATGGCCTGAGTCCATTTTGGTCTCTGAGGGCCACACTTCTGTTGGGGCCATGCTAATCTGGATGGCCTGCACTGCTGCCTGGGGCCATGGTGACATCTGAGCCTGAACTGCAGCAAGGAGCCATGCCTGGGTCCACGCCCTACTACAGCCAGCAATGTAAAGGCCTTACCATGTGTCTGGGTTAGTATCTGTGACTCCTGACGCCACCAAAGCCATACAAATACCTGGTGTCTGGGCCATCACCTGAGGCCAGGTGGGGATCTGAGCGTTATACTATAACCAGGGCAAACAACTGAGTGGCCTGTGCTGCCACAAGGTGCCATGGTGATGCCCCAGCCCGGCTGCAGTCCAGGGCCATGTCTCGATCCGTGGTACAGGAGTAGCCAGATTCTGAGCTGTGATGTTCATGGTTACTGATGCTATTGAAGGCCATGCTGATGCCAGGGTGCTTTCCCATCATCTGGGGCCATGTTGGTGTCTGGAAGGTACTCTCCTGCAGTAGCTGTGTGGATCTGGGTGGCCTGTGTTGCCACCTGTGGCTATGGTGACATCCGTGCCTGACTGTAGCCTTATATGTGTCTGTGGTCCTATCATAGTCGGGGGCTGTGATGTCCATGGCCCATGGTGCCACTAACGGCCACATGGATGTCCATGGTCTAGGCCACATTCTGTGGCTATGTTGGTGGTGTTCAAGGTCTGTGTTGCCACTGGGGTTATGGTGTTGTCTGGGCCAGGGTTCCTGCCGAGGGCCATGTCTGGGTCCATTACCCTACCACAGCCAGGTCTACGTTGATGTTTGTGGCTCCTGATGCCATGGATGCAATGGGAATGCCAGGGGTCAGGGCTTCCACCTATGGTGATGTTGGTATGCAATGGTCTGGCTGTCACAGGGGTCACGCAGCCACATGGGCCAGCCTGGGATGCTGCTGTGTGTCATGTCTGGGTTCATGGCCCAACAGCAGCCTGGGTCTGGGCTAATGACCATGGCTTGTGTTATCACAAGGCGTCATAGGAATCATTTGTGTGAAAATTTGAGAGCTGTGCTGAGTTGATCCTATTCCTCACTGGCCCCAGGATTGCTGGCCCTGCCCCTCACTGCAGCTGGAGAGGTGGTGCCACCCTCTCCCAATGGTAGAAGAGCCGGCCCCACCCCTCACCACCAGCATGTGAAAGCTGGCCCGGATGTCACAGACTTTGGATACCTGGCTCTGCCCTTCGCCTAAGGGGGTGATTCCAATGGCCTACCAGTTCAGGCCCACATCCTGGACCTTGGGTTGGCCCACCATTACATCTACTTCATCTGTGACCTGCTAGAGTGTGTGAAGGGACTGGTCTTGGGGAACAATAACCACGGGTTCCGTGACTCAGGGCAACATAGGATATATGAGAGGAGTTTCCATGAGGGTCAGTGGTGATGTGTGCCAGAGGCCAGCAGCCTTGACCAGACCAATGACTCATTACAATGAGCCTTTTGTGGGTGGGGCTTACTGGACAGAGGGTAGAGGGTGTGACGCACTGCAGACTGTGGCTCCCAGTGCCACTAGGATGAGTGACGTGGTGTTGAAAAGATGGAAGAGTGAGGTGGGTTATTTTCTTTGTTTTATATTTTTAAGTTAATTTGGGGGGCAACCTTCAGGGGTCAGGAAGTGAGCAGGATTGGGGTGCATGATGTGAAATTTCCAAAGAGTCAAAAAGAATTATGTTTAAAATAGTAAACAAATTCTATCTTTAATATTTTAGGACCCACCATGCAGTTTTTCAGATTGAACAACTCTATATCCTCAACAACAGTGTCCAGGGTTCAAGTTTCTCCAGTGTCTCTAACACTTGTTATTGTTTTGTTTTTCTTGGAACAACAGCCATTCTAACAGATGTGAGGTGGTATCACACTGTGGTCTTAATTTGCATTTTCATGATGCCTAGTGATGCTGACTGTCTTTCCGGGTGCTTCTTGGCCATTCATAGGTTTTTGGAAGAATTTCATGTAAGATCTTTGTTCATTTTCAAAAATCAAGTTGTTTTGTCATTTAGTTTGTTTGGTGTTTGAGATCATATTTTTTCCTCATCAATTTATTTTATAGTGACTTTGAAAACACACGCACACACACAAAGTACAAAGGGAAGTTAGTCAAAAGTGGTATTTCAGTTTAGTGGATACGGTCATTACATCTGTCTACGTAGGAAGGCAATCGAGACTGCCCAACAGATGGTGCAGAGACAATGAGCTTCGCTGATAGAATCACAACACATTCCATTCAATTAAAACTCCCACTTAGCAGATGCGTCAACAGTTGGTGTCCTGCGATGCTAATCTACAGCGGAGACATTATTCTCTTATATTCGTCATCGGTAGCATGTTTGGATCTTTGGAACTTGAGACGTTTGATAAAGTACAACGAGAAGACTTTGAACTTTGATTCTCCTGCCTCCACTTCCTGAGTGCTGGCCCCACAGACACTGCGGTCATAGACCTCATTTCTGCAGCCCTGGGAATCAAACCAGAGCTTCATGCATGCCAGACAAGCACTCTGCCAACTGAGCAGCATTTCCAGCCTGGGGTCAACATTGCTTTAAATCATTACTATCTAGGTCTTATAGATGCTTAATAGACATTTGTTAACCAAATAAACTCACTTTTGATATGGAGAAGCCTCTCAGAGCCTCAATCGTCCTCTCAGATCTCAGGGAACACTGCTTTCCACCCGCAAAACCGTATGAGAATTCAAAATGCTGGAGCCTTGTATGCCAATGGATAGGCCCTGCTTTATCCATACACAGGTGCTTTTCACAAGTCGCATGCTATAAATACGCTTGGCATTTCAGCTAGTAAGATCTTTTTCTCTTGTTGATTTCACCTCTATAATCTGAGATAAATATTTAACCTCTAAAAGAAACTTAGATAAGCAAAACATAAATTGGGTTACTTTACAGAAAGATGGATTTCCCAGACCGGCCATTTCAGACTGAAAATTCATTGTGAGCCTCTGATGTATTTTGACTCTGCCCCGATGCTGTACGGATGTTGTCTCTTATGCAGTTAAACAACAGCACAGGTATGCAAGGTGCTAGTGATCCCTGAAGCCATGGTAGCTGGGAGACATTTAACTACGTTTTCAAAGGAAAAAGAAACATGATCGTGTGATGTAACAACTTCCAAAACCACGGGTCCGTGTCACACCACCGCGGAGGCTACCCCAAGGCTCCTGAAGGCAGCACTGGAAGGCATGGCCAACAAGCCTTGGGAGTGTCAGCTCTAGCTGCATGGCCCTGCACTTGCTGGAGCGCTGTATAGGAAGCGTGAATCCCATGGAGAAGCAGAGTGACTTGTCTTCGTGGAGGTATCCCACCCTGTCTAGACTAGGTTTCCTCAGTTCGGGAAAGCTCCAGAGAAATGGGCAGACCATATCTAATCACACAACAGTGATAAATGGAGGACTGGCTGCCTCCAATAATAATAAAGACAAAAGACCTGTTTCAAGAAGGCAATTAAAGGTAAATAAAAGAAATGCCTAACCCCTACACCACCACCCTTGTGTGTGTGTGTGTGTGTGTGTGTGTGTGTGTGAAAATGTTTCTTGTAAAGGCTCAAATACACAATTCCTTCAGCTGGGTAGGTCATTTATTACTGTAAGGCACAGCTGCTTAGATCTGCCATGGTAGAGAAAAGCACCCATGACGGTTGTGTGCCTGCAATCCCAGCACTCCAAAAGCAGAAGTAGGATTATCGCATCAAATTCCAGGCCAGCCTGGTCTACCTGGTGAGCTGGCTTAGTCATTGAGGTCTTGACTTAAAAACAAATAACCAATGAAATGGCTAATGCTGTGTTCTAGTACACCTTGTTTACAAAGCCATGTGCTGATGGAATCAGCCTAGACACCCAACAACAAAGGAATGGATAAAGAAAATGTGCAATGTATACGTGTAAGATATGCATAAGGAAATACTTTTCAGCCATAAGGAATGAAACCATGTTGTTTCCAAAAAAAATGTATAAAGGCAGAGATAAGCAAATTAAACCAATCCTTTAAAAAGACTCATTTGTTGTTGCTAGATTTTATATAGACATGTAAAGTCGTGTGTGTATGTATGTGTGTGTGTGTGTGTGTGTGTGCGCGCATGAATGCAGTATGATTAATAACAACCTAGAGACAGATATTGGGATTCAACCTGAAGTTCAGAAAAGCAAAATAGCCAGTTACTGGGTCTTACCTCTGCCTCAGTCCAAAATGGCAATTCTATCTCTAGGAATCTCGGAATGAGATTATGCCTGAGAGCTGTCTCCTCCCGTCTTAGATTCCTCTCTAGTGCTGGGATTAAAGGTGTGCACCACTACCACCTGGTTTCTATGGCAAAATAGTGTGACCACTGGGATTAAAGGTATGTATTACCACTGCCTGGTTTCTAAGGCTGACGAGTGGGCCATTTACTCTCTGATCTTCAGACAAGCTTTATTTATGAAAATACAAATGAAATGTCACTACATTACCCCTTTTTGTCTAATACAAAAAAGCAAAGCTATAACTAATATAAGAAAAAATATATATAATAAGGACAGATTATATACAATATCTATAGGCTGTAAGTACATCAACAATGTCCAGTCATTTGCATTTGACAAATTTAGAGAAAATATTCCATATCAATCCTATCTTGGTGAGTTCAAAGTCTTATGCTTAACTTACTATCTATCTTAACTTGCTTTCTGTGTCTGAAGTGTTTTAAGATGACCTATCTAAAATATATCTTTGTTTGACTTTGAAAACATACTTAGTGCAACTACAAGTTTGATTATACTATGTGTTAACTACTAACCTGTGATTCCTTATTATCCTAAACAGCTGGTAATAATAATTTTCAAGGACCAGAAATTTGCATCACATCATTAAATGAGTTGTATAGGTGCCATACCTTGAAGAAGAGTAGAAATGTACATACAGTATTTTCTAACAAAATTAATATCAATATACAAAATTTGTATATTGTATTTGTATAAAAGTCCAATACAATGTAAAACATTTAAAACTAGTAGTTACTTTTTTAAAAAATAGATTAAATAACCCACCTTTTGTCCCATCATCTCTATATCCTCCCACTCTTCAGAGTAGGTTCAACCATCTACCCTTTAGTCCTATCATATCTGTGTCCCCTTTTATCTTTCCAAAATACGAGCCTTGAATCTAATCTAAGCCTTTGTTTAGCTTTTTTCCTGACCATTATCTGTAACAACTTGTAACCAACACTCTAAACAAAGACAAACATTCATAATCCATTTGGGGGGGATGTGAACATAATTTTCTAGACTACTTCCTGCTGATTGAGGGCACCGATATTCTTATGGGGACTCAAAGAAAATTTAGGATTATGGGCAAGACCTGATTGGAGTATTCTGTGAGGTTGGATCATCTCAGTCATCAGACTTGAAGGTGTTCTGGATGTAGAACTCAGAGAAAACTGCAACAGAGGTGTTCTAGAATGTTGGATCATCTGGACCATCCACTCCTTTGGGGGATTTTTTTAGGGGTCTTCCTTGATCTAACCTTGTTTTCCTTAACCCAGAATGAATCCATAGCCTCTCAATACCTGTGAAAACAGAAGCAAATCTCTTCTCCACAGTAACATATCTTTTGACTTAAGTTTTGAAGTCAAGAGTTTTTCAAAATACAAATGTTAGATTAATCCAGTTCAGAAGCTGTTTCTCCTTCCTCAGAAGTCAAACAATTCAAAGACAATGCAATAATATACAGTATCCAGAATCTCTGTGTATTTTCCTTCTTTATATGGCTTTTTAAAACTCCATTTCTTTTATTTTATTTTTTAATTTTTGATTTTTTAAGACAGGATTTTTCTGTGTAACTTTGGCTGTCCTGAAACTCACTCTGTAGACCAGTCTGGCCTTGAACTCACAGAGATCCTACTGCCTCTGCATCCCAAGTGCTGGCATTGAAGGCCGATACCACCATGACTAGCTACATTATTTTCTTAAAGAACTTTCTCTATCCTTTTTCTTTTCTCTCCCAAGCCTAAATATATTTTTTAACACACTGTAAACTGTTTCGTATTTTTTTTAATTTCCATCTGAATCTGTCTTTACTATGTATCTCTTTCTTTTTCGGACCACATGAGTCTTTAATCTGCTAAGCAGCATGGCTAGGATTAAAGTTGCATCTTTGGCGGCTGGATCCATCCTACTCCTTGGTTTCCCGAGAGTGTAGCTTCATGGCGGAGGTACTAGCAGGAGTCACTTTTATTACCACAACTCTGTGGAGCTTCTAAGTCCATGCCACTAACAAGAAGAATGCCACTAGATACTCACAAACACCATATAAGTGTTTGGTGGCAGGGCCTCTTAAAAGAGCTGCAAGATTTTTGCTGCTAAGGCTGAGTCAGGAAGCCTCTCTTAAAGGAGCCATGCCTCTGCTGGTCCCCACCAAAAAGAGACTACCAGAGTAAGGACGGTTACCAAGAAGCTACGCTTGACTCTGTTCTTGTCTGTCTAGAGTCCTCTTTTTAAAGCTTTCTCAGACTTTATGTGGAAATTCTTGCCAAACATTTGAATGTCATTTGTAGCACAAATAATAAAAACCCAGAGACAGATATAAGGATTCAACCTGAAGGTCAGAAAAGCAAAACAGCCAGCCACTGGGTTTTACCTCTACCTCAGTCCAAAATGTGATCCTGCCTCCAGGAATCTCAGAATGAGACTGTGTGTGAGAGCTGTCTCCTCCCGTCTTATATTCCTTTCCAGTGCTGGGATTAACAGTGTGCACCACTGGGATTAAAGGCGTGCACCACTACCACCCGGTTTCTATGGCAAACTAATGTGGCTACTGGGATTAAATGTGTGTGTCACCACTGTCTGGTCTGTAAGGCTGATCAGTGTGGCTGTTTTACTCTCTGATCTTCAGGCAAGCTTTATTTGTTTATTAAAACACAAATGAAATATCACTGCATGTGCGTGTGCGCTCGCGTGTGTGTGGTGTGTGCACGTGTGTATGTGTTTGTGTGTTTGGGCATGCATGTGTGTGTATGTGTGTGTGTGTAGAGGAAAAGGGTACAAGGGAAGGGCAGGAAAGGGTGCTCACTAAACAAACAATATTTACTTGGATGAACACAATTTTAATGTGTTGGAATATTACTTTGATGACACCTGATCTCAATGACGTTGAGTTTAAGAGATAAGAAGACATGGTCACAGCAGTCACCATAACAAGTCTCAGTCAGAACTCTCCTGTAGGAGGTGTTTACTAAATCACTTGTCTGTGGAAAGACCCACTGAAGAACGGGCACATGGCTCAGTTCTGGCCTGAGATGCAGTGAGAAGCCTGTTGGGAAGGCCCTCCCACTCTAATGGGCTGGTGGCACCCCTTTGGGGGCAGCCTCTTGAGTGGTTGTGGTAACAGGAGTAACCTCAACCACCAATTGGCTCAAATGGAGCCAATCTGAGGAAGGTGGGGCAAGAGATGGAAGAGCGGAATCAGTCGTCCTGGGAGCCATTCTCTCTGCATTCCCTGTGACTAACGATGAATCGTCTGACCATGAGGCAAGCTGAGATGGAGCTTCTGTGAATTGGAGCTGAGCACATCGAGTTGCTTCAATTAATTATGTTTTCTCCAAAATTGCTTCGAGTTACACATATAATACAGAATTTACTCTGTCTTCCAGGTAGAGTTTCCTGTCTCTCTAAAGGGACATCATAATTCTATTTAGCCTTTCCTTGAAAATGTATCAGGGTTTGAAGCTGCTGTAGCAATTTAGAAAATAGAAGGGACCTCTGTTCCTAACTTGATTCTCTTCCACAAAGCAGATGGCTGGAAGTGCCGCCCTACTTTGGGAACCACTTCCACTTTGGCTTCCCTCTGACTAGGGAGCACAGTCATGCAGATACTCCATCCACTTACCTTTTCTGCAACCAGAGCCCTGAGTTAGGTCTTTATTGAGATGATGCACACTTGTGATGGATAGTGTTAATTGCCCACTTGACGTGACCTAGAAACTTCTGGGAAGAGTCTCAGCGAGAGGTAGCCTAGAGCAGGTCAGCTTGTGGGTATGTCTGTGGGGACTGTCTTGGTCACCATTACTGAGGTGAGAAAACCCAGCCTGAGAGTACACAGCACCATTTCCTGGTGTAGGGCTCCGGAGTGTATGAGGAGAGAACACTAGTTGACTGCCAAGCGTGCATACATTCATCCTCTCTGTTCTTGAATATAGACAGGATGTGGCCAACCGTCTTACGATCCTTCCGTCTTAGCGTTCCTGCTGTGGTGAGCTGTATTCTGCAATTGTGAGCTGATATATCCCTGCTCTTGAATAGTGTTCCTGCTATGGTGAGCTATAACCTGCAATTGTGAGCTGAGATATCCCTGCTCTTGAATATGTACAGGATGTGACCAACTGTCTTAGTGTTCCTGCTATGGTGAGCTATAACCTGCAATTGTGAGCTGAGATAGCCCTGCTCTTGAATATGTACAGGATGTGACCAACTGTCTTAGTGTTACTGCTATGGTGGTCTGTAACCTGCAACTGTGAGCTGAGATATCCCTGCTCTTGGATAGCGTTCCTGCTATGGAGAGCTATAACCTGCAATTGTGAGTTGAGATATCCCTGCTCTTGAATATGGACAGGATGTGGCCAGCCGTCTTACGTTCCTTCTGTCTTAGTGTTCCTGCTCTGGTGAGCGGTAACCTGCAGTTGTGAGCAGAGATATCCCTTTCTCTCTAAGTCGCTTTGTCACAGCCTCAGAAAGCAGCTGCGGCGGCACTTCAGAATTGCTTGGCTCCCTCCTCTGCCCGAGGAAGGGTCATCTTGATTCATCTAAGTCCATTTCCATGCCACTCTCCTTGCCAATGAGAGGTTAGGACGGGAGTGTCTATAATTCTGGATTGCAGCTGTTGGTGAAGTTTTTTTCCTTCACAGAAACATATACAAAAATCTTTTTTTTTTTGAGAATTGAATTGATGGAAGCTGTGGCCATCATCCTGCCTTCAAAAGCAAGCCGAGAGCAACACGCATGGGGAAATGAGGGGTGCCTGCCTCGACCCTGGCGAGGAGCCACGGTGTAACGAAGCCAGCTGCCCCACCTCGGACTTTCTGTGCTATTAGTGCCAGCTGAGTTAGGCTTTCTGCTGGCTATGCTGGAATAGCACCAACTGGACACTTAGCCCTTAGCTGCTGTGGGCAGACGGCACCAGGGCCCTCTACCTGTCTGAGCGGGCTAAGGACAAACAGCGTGATGACTCTACCTCTGGGCTCTTAACAGTCTTGGCAGGAATGAAGACATCCTAAAGAGAACACTAAAGGTAAACACCCTTAACCTTTGACTGTCAGAGGATAGAGAAAATGAACCCCATGACAGTGGGATTTCCCAGGACACCCACGCTGGGAGCCTGATATTACCCAGGGGAGGAGCTCGTCTTTGGAGACGAGCGTTCATACCTTCCGACTCTATCTATCACTACAGGAGCCTCTGGAATCTAGCCAGTGATGATGGTCAGGACCATTACCAGGACTGCATAGTCATGCATAATTCTTGCTCTCTAAATTAAACCCCTCTAGGCCCCAAAGAGGAACACCTGCTCCTCTTCTCAAAGTGGCCACATTGAATAAACCTGCTTCCCTAGTGCTCCTCTCTTGGCTATGGAGGAGGGGAGGTCTAGCTTGATACAGTGGGGGTAGGGGAGAGGAGGACTTGATCCTAACAACTTTGGTAACTGTCTCTCCTTTCTCTCCACGTACAGTGCACAGGGGACTAACTATGGAATTTTACGGAAGACCCGATGGCTACAGACTGTCTTTAAAGTATCAGGAACAATTCATGTGCAAGCCAGATGTTTTATATAAGTAGCAAAAATTAGCTATAGATTGTTAAATAAATCAGTTTAAAACTTGAACCAAGGACCATTAAAAATATCAGGCACAATGGTGCCTGTTTACAGTCCTGGCCCTTGGGAATTTGCAGCAGAACGGTTGAGCCCAGCCTGAGTCACATAAGACTTGGTTTCAATACCCACTCCCCAACAAATTGATTTAGTTTGATTTAATTAAGTAAAATGCCATAACCAGTTCTAGGTTAAGCAGCTTATTCTTTGTGCCTCGTCTTCACAAACAGAAAGTATTTAAAGTATTAACACGACAAATAAGTCTGCAATGGTGGCACTCTGAGAGCTAGATGCTTGCCATGCAAGCCTGACAGCCCAGGTTCTGGCTCTGGAGGCCACAGTGAAAGCACAGGATTGACTCGAGCAACAACAGGCTTGGGCTGGACATGGTGCTGTACGCTTCTAACCCCAGCACTTAACCGCAAAAGCAAGTGCGTGGATCACTTAGAGTTCATACCTGGGCTGGTCCGCATAGAGAGATTCTATCCCGAAACAAAAAAATGTCTCTATATTAAAGAAGGCCAATTTATTGTGTTTTTGTAAAATAT